CACAGAGCCTAGGACTTGCCGATCAGAAGGTTGGCGGTTCGAATCCCCGCAACGGGGTGAGCTCCCGTTGCTGGGTCCCTGCTCCTGCCAACCTAGCAGTTCGAAAGAACATCAAAGTGCAAGTAGATAAATAGGTACCGCTCCGGCGGGAAGGTAAACGGTGTTTCTGTGTGCTGCTCTGGTTCGCCAGAAGCGGCTCTGTCATGCTGGCCACATGACCCAGAAGCTGTACGCTGGCTCCCTTGGCCAATAAAATGAGATGATCGCCGCAACCCCAGAGTCGGCCATGACTGGACCTAGTGGTCAGGGGTCCCTTTACCTTTAAGCACAGAAATAGATTCATTGTCTATTGCCACATGGAACCAGAAGGATTTCTCTTGTTCCCAGCATCTCCTGCAAGGAAAATAAAATCCCTGTTGCCATCAGAAAGACCAGGGATGCGGAGGAGAAGTGTTCTTCCTTTCTCTCACCTCATATAGTGTTTCTTTGGTGGGTGAGAGACCCCTGGAGACCACTCTCCAGGAAACAGGAGACAACAGATGGAGCGTCATGTTGCTGCCTCAGTGTGTGTGTTGTTATATGATTAACTGTACCATTATAAGTGAATATAACACAAGGAAATCATTCAAAGTTACCCAAAAGAGCATAGTGGAATCTATCAAAAGTGGGGCTGGAGGAGAGAACCTTATTTCATAGACATAAGAGGGGTGGGCAGACTCTCCAGAGAACAGCTGGGAACTGGCTCAGAAAATTAAGCTACTCCAAAAATTTACTTCTATTGACTGTGCCCCAAAAGCATTCCCAAACCCTTTCAGTTCTCTGAAGAGTCTCTCCATATGTGCCTTGAGCCTGATGGCAGGTTCTCAAGTAGAGTCCTAACTTTTGACTAGGTGTATATAGTGTTGCGGCGCTGTGGTCTAAATCACTGAGCCTATTCGGCTTGCTGATCGGAAGGTCAGCAGTTTGAATCCCCGTGATGGGGTGAGTTCCTGTCGCTCTGTCCCAGCTCTTGCTAACCTAGCAGTTTGAAAGCACACCAGTGCAAGTAGATAAATAGGTATTGCTGTGGCAGGAAGATAAATGATGTTTCTGTGTACTCTGGTTTCCGTCAGGGTGTTCCATTGCAGCAGAAGCAGTTTAGTCATGCTGGCCACATGACCCAGAAAGCTGTCTGTGAACAAACGGTGACACCATCAGCCTGAAAGAGAGATGAGCGCCGCAACCCCATAGTCACCTTTGACTGAACCATCCAGGGATCATTAGCTATGTCCCAGTGGACATAGCTATAGCCTCCCTGAAGGCTCATCCACCAACTTTTCTGCCTCTCTCAAATTGTCTAGGTAAGCAAACATGGCCACAAGGGAACAAACTCATTCCTGGAGAATCAGAAGGTCATTGCACTGAGGAACCACCCACAACTTCTGTCCAACAGGCAGGTAGTCATACATGTGACAGATGGCTCAAGCCACTGGAAAGCCTTTATACCTCTCCTCGCTTTCTACTTGCATAACTGTTTTTGTAGTTTATTGACTTATTTCATTAGCAGTTTAGGATTGGATTCAACTAACCTGGTGCCCAATGGAAGCCACACATGGAGTTCAACCAGCGCAATAGGGCTTTTCTCCCTTCTTCCTCCCATGTGCCCCTGTGTCTCCCTCAAATCTAAAGCATCAGGGGGATCCTCAGAACAGAAGTACCAGAAGCGGTTTAGTCCTGCTGGCCACATGACCTGGAAAGCTGTCTGAGGACAAATGCCAGCTCCCTCGGCCTGAAAGCGAGATGAGCACCGCAACCCCATAGTCGCCTTTGACTGGACTTAACCACCCAGTGGTCCTTTAACTTTTATCTTACCTTATAGGGCTGTGCTGTAAGTCTGTATCCAACCCACATATTTTTCTCTATCTGGGGCCCAGTACAAATATTTCCCTATCATTTTTTTCAACCTCTTTCCACCAGATGTTGGGTTCGAACAAGTTGTCGTCACGTTTCCGCATATGTTTCAGCGTAGCAGAAAGATCACCTACCCTGTGATTTTTCTCAGCCAATTAATTTTCATCAGTGCTCATTACTGTGTTCAGATATGCTTTTTGCATGCACATTTCACTTCTGCCGTGAGACTTATGCGGACATATCATAGGGGACATGAATAAAAATCCGTCTAAATGGGGAAAGTGTGCCTCAATTTCTAAGGGAAGTTCCCATGGTTAACGGTTTTGTAATATGCAGAAAGAAAGTGGAGAGGAAGGCTATCTTTTTTCCCTTTCCTAAAAGAAGATCAAACTCCGTATCAAGCCACTGTTCTTATCGACTCAATATCCTAGCAACAGTATCAACACCCTGCGTCATCCCTTCCACATTGCCAGGGAGCTTCAATTTCTTCTTTTTAAATTGATCTTCCATAAGTTCACCTTGTGATTGAGGGCAGCATTATCTTTAATTAGAGTAGCTGAGAGCTGCTTAGCATTGTCCAGATTGTGATTTGAATCATTAAACTCTCCACTCTCTGGTTAGAAATAGTGCCTCTCTGCACTCCAGACTTTCATTCTGCCAGCTTCCCCAGATGTGCGCAATGTGTAAACTTCTACTTTGGCAACCTGCTGTGATCTTCTAGCGCCTTTGGCTGAAGAGCTGCGGAGAAACAAGGGAAACATATGGCTGCCTCCGAGTTGTTTTTGTAACTTTCCTTCCACTGTGTTATTGTGTCTTGGGGAATTTAGAACAAAACCTGCACAAAGCAGGGCTGGTATTATTACAGTATAAAGCTTCAGGAGGTAATTCAGGCCTGTCAAACATTTGACCCACCAAGCCAAACAAAATCCACCAGGAGGCCGTTGAGAGGTCCAGGGGCCAGATGTTCATTTGCTGCCCCCCTTCCTCTTCACTTGCCACCACTTTGCCCCCTCCACTGAAGAAAACAACAACTAAACACACATATAATTCTTCTTAAAATTATTTGTATTTGACATCAAGGGGAGCAGTTAAGTTAAAGCAAACATATATTGGATAGACTTGTGATATATCCCTTCAGTCCTTCTGCACACAGAATCCTCTTTTCATGTCGTTAACTATGAACATCAAAACAAAGTTAAGCAAAATGTTTACGCATAATGACAAGCTATATTCAGGTTATTGTAAAAGTTATATCTTCTTCCCCCTACTTTTCCTTGGTAGCAAATTCAAATAAGAGATTATTAAATATATATATATTTCAGACGATCTCATTCTATAGAGAGAACAGCTGGCAACACAACAGCAGTTGTGCAGCATTGTTGACCGTAATGTGTGGTTTTTTTACGATAATTTGGAGAATGCTTTTTTTTTCCCCCTTCACAATTTGAAATACGAAGTTAGATAAATGCAGAAAGCTATTATGACAGTTGGAAATGTTTCTTTCTTTAAATTATCTTCAAAATACTAGGCACAATAGTGTCTGGGAATGTGTTACATCCTTCAGTGGTATCTAAGAATTTAATGTTTGAATTCAGAGGAAAGGAAAATATGATGATCTTTGGAGCAGACTCCATCATTTTCCAGTGTAATTCTAAAGGAAACAGTTCTGAGCATGCTCAGAGCAGGTGTATATATCTGTAGGGCTACCGGCCTAATAAGTCTAATGACAACAGAAGGAAGGAGGAACCTGCAGAGTTAGGGCTAAGAGACCGGCAGCTCTAGTAAAACACAAAATTATTATATAGTGTTTCCTCCTGGAGAAACATGAGCAGGGCCACCAGGCTGTAGCAATATTTTTGGATTGGAAGTAGATGAGTGGTATAGAGAAGTGATTGAGATAAGTATCTCCAGGAGTCTCCCCAGTGTTTTTTTTCTGGGGATATGTGGGGGTACGCATACCCCTAAACATTTTGGGAATCTAAGTTTGGCCCCATTGAGGGACAGTATTTCAATATGAGTAGGAAAATGAGAGTTTTGTTGTTTAGTCGTTTAGTCGTGTCCAATTCTTCGTGACCCCATGGACCAGAGCACACCAGGCACTCCTGTCTTCCACTGCTTCCCGCAGTTTGGTCAAACTCATGCTGGTAGCTTCGAGAACACTGTCCAACTATCTCATCCTCTGTCGTCCCCTTCTCCTTGTTCATCAGGGTCTTTTCCAGGGAGTCTTCTCTTCTCATGAGGTGGCCAAAGTATTGGAGCCTCAGCTTCACGATCTGTTCTTCCAGTGAGCACTCAGGGCTGATTTCCTTCAGAATGGATCGGTTTGATCTTCTTGCAGTCCATGTGACTCTCAAGAGTCTCCTCCAGCACCATATTTCAAAAGCATCAATTCTTCGGCGATCAGCCTTCTTTATGGTCCAGCTCTCACTTCCATACATCACTACTGGGAAAACCATCGCTTTGAGTATACGGACCTTTATTGGCAAGGTGATGTCTCTGCTTTTTAAGATGCTCCCTAAACATATTTTTTTTTAAGAAAAAAAGCATTGAGTCTCCCTAAGTTGAAATGGAAATATATGTCAGTGTGGGTTAGGAAAGACTTTAGGGGGAACATATTTTTAAATTGTTTGAAATTTCACCTTTCAGGGGGGCTGTTTTTTACACTCCCTCATATTTTCTCTCTTTAAAAACCCTACATATAGGAAACAAAATTGAGAGTGAGATGGTAGGACGTTTCTCCACGATATTCTCGTTTTCTACACCACAATTTTGTTGATAGGAATTGTCCCCTTTAAATACATTGTCAGGTGAATATTTTAGCTTTTGTTTATTGCTGTTTTTTTCTAACTTTATTTTATTGTGTGTAATTTGAAAGCAGAAATGTGACATAAGGATAATAATAATTTATGAATGCCTACTCAGAAGAAGGTCTGCCTACTTTAGCTGGACCTGCCCCATAAACCTGCAGCCAACAAACCTTGTACCAAAGGCACAATGAATATATGCCACTGAAAATGAAGTTCTGTCAAACAGCAGGCTTTTCAAAGTTCAAAAATACTGAAAACTGAAGCAAATAGGCTGTCATTATTTTTCAGGCCCACCTGAAAAACATTTGCGTGTCGAGGTCCCCAAGCCACCCCCCAAATAACTCACAACGCACACTTAATTTTTGTTTAAGGTTTTTGGCATAATTTTGGCCACAACTTTATTTAAATACAAAACCGTGAGTGGTTGTTTAGGCATTGGTTAAGACTATCTGTCCCCCGCCTGGGGACAGAACTGACTTCCGGGCACCACCGAAAGACAGTGCGGGGAAAGCAAGTCGGAGAAAATGGAGCTGGGCCACAGACCCTCAATTCTCATCCGCATGCTCCCCGAAGGCTTGCCGGCCCTAGTCCCATTCCAGGGATTGGACGAAAAGATGGCAAGCCCCAGGATTCCTTTAACGGAATTCCCTTTCCGCAGCAACCATGGAGGGGCAGGCCCAGCCTATCCTAACCCCTCCTCCACCAATTTATAACCAATGCCTAACCACAACCTTACAAGTTGTGACGATTTGCTACGCAGTAGGCAAAAACCAAATGGCCCAGCCAATCAGCCAGATGGACAAAATTCCTACCAGGCCCCTGCCCCAACGGCAGACGACCCCATGACAGGCATAGCAAGGTCAATGCAACAACCCCTTACTCAAGGGCGGGTGGGCGGGTGATCCGTTGCACGCAGCAAAGAGAAAGCTCCAGGCTGCGTGCAGAGTATTTAAACATTTTACCCCTCCCACCAAAATTGCAACATAACTTTTACCCCAGCAACCCAGTGAACCAATCACTGCCCCAGGCCATCTTTAGAGACCCTGCCTGGTAACAGAGGGGTGGCTCAGCAGACCCCACCGCAACACGTGCTCTCCATGAAGGAGAACACGCTTTGCGTGTCGAGGTCCCCAAGCCACCCCCCAAATAACTCACAACGCACACTTAATTTTTGTTTAAGGTTTTTGGCATAATTTTGGCCACAACTTTATTTAAATACAAAACCGTGAGTGGTTGTTTAGGCATTGGTTAAGACTATCTGTCCCCCGCCTGGGGACAGAACTGACTTCCGGGCACCACCGAAAGACAGTGCGGGGAAAGCAAGTCGGAGAAAAATGGAGCTGGGCCACAGACCCTCAATTCTCACCCGCATGCTCCCGAAGGCTTGCCGGCCCTAGTCCCATTCCAGGGATTGGACGAAAAGATGGCAAGCCCCAGGATTCCTTTAACGGAATTCCCTTTCCGCAGCAACCATGGAGGGGCAGGCCCAGCCTATCCTAACCCCTCCTCCACCAATTTATAACCAATGCCTAACCGCCAATCGAGCCCTTTACGCTCGCCGCCAACCACTCACAATCCCAACCCAACCTTCAACCTTGCAGTTACCGCATCCAACCAAACATCATTCCCCAGTACAGAGAGATGTACTCCATCATTGCGGTAAAGGGCCAGAGCCTTGAAGGTAATATCCGGGCGGGAAATAACCAATCCACCCAAATCCGCCACCTTCTTACACACTGCAGAATTAATGCGCTTCCTGGCCCTTTCAGCAGCCTCAGGTCGAGAAATGCCGTGCCAATTGCGCCTTTGCAGCAATTGTGACCAAAATATTTTAACTGTGGGTATTAAGGTCACCAATTCACCCAAGTCTCTCTGAATCGTGGAGCGCAAAGTAAAGCAATCATAAGTTGCCACATCGTTCCCCCCCAGCTGAACCACAATTGCCATGGGGGCCATCCAAAGCACCCTCTGCTTAATTAGCGGGATGAATTCGCTCCACTGCATTCTGCGCCTGGACATCCACAACACCTGCACATACTGCGGGAGGCCAAGACCCAGTCCCCTTCCAGACTGCCTAGCTCTGATGCCAGCCCAGTAAACGATGCTGTGCCCCACAATCCAGATGCGGACTGGAGCTAGAAACATGGGCAGGAAGGCCGAGATGGCGCCCCCAGTCCAGACTCGTCAGGGTGCTTGCCAGCTCAGTGCATGATGCTGTGGCCGACAATCCAAATGCGCACAGCTGCTCCTATGAAAAAGGAATAACAGACAGGCATCAGCACAGGCATCATTGGCGATGCTTCCTGACATAACCTTTGTCAGCGTCAGACTTCCAATGACCCGTATTCACAATCCTGTCTACTAACAGGCCCCAATGCGCAGCCTTTGCAGCAGCACCTATTTGGAAGGAATGAGGCGTGTTCAGCGGTAGGCAAGCCGCAGGCTGCAATAACTGGCGCACGACGTGAGCAATTAGATGCCTGTCGAACCGGAACCCATTTCTGTGCACTAGGATTGAGCCAGCCCCCAGGGGAACGAAAAGCCAAATATTTCCGGTATCCAATAACAGGGCAAGGGCCCACCTCACCTGTGACTGGAAGCCTGATGGTGGCAACCCTGCTCACTAGGTCTGACTTAGAGCTCCAGACACTTATGACAAGCTCCAAAGCAGATAAGGAAAAGTCCTGTGGCAATAAGCCTCCAAACTCTCAGCCCCGTGCTGGCTCCAACACAATTTCCCCAACCCTCAGTACACCAAAATTACAATGGAATACTGAAATAAGTCTCGTCTTGATCTTGAACCAGCCAACAAGTCTCAACTTGTTGCAGATACTGCATAGGTCAAAGATTGACCGGCTTCCTGCCTGCTGTCCTGTGAAGGTCAGAGCCTATTCCAACCTTCCGAGACCCTGCGCATGACACACTTTTAGAAGGGTCTCTGAAAATTAAAGCTTTACTCTAGCAGACATTGCAGCGGACTGAATTCTGATAGTTTTAACACTGCATCCTATCTGCAGCAGGTGGGCGAATTACTGCAGGTCCTGCTCAGAGGATGGGGGCAGGTTCCTCTGAATGGCCGAGGACTACCAGCTAAATTTTAAGAAATCAGTCCAGGCCTTCTCATAAGACCTGAAAGCGGATGGGGAAACGTAAGCTACTATTCCTCATAATTATTAATTGTCGCCAAGTGCCACAGGAGCTCCAGAAAAATAGCTGGGTGTCCAGAGCCCAGGATCTGAAGCTCTCCAACTGAAAAAACGGGATAGAGCCACAGCAAAAACATTAGATGATCCCGAAATAAAGTGAGCAGAAACGCAATATTAAACCTTAAGCAGTGCGAAGACTCTGCCAGAGCATGAAGACCGTTTTGCCAGGACTCTCACACTGCCTGGTTATCAGACCAAGACAGACCTGACGGTCCCTAAACTCCTCAGTCCAGATGTGCGCTGACACTACAATGAGGAAAACTCAAGAAAGTTAGGTTACATGTGATTGCCTTGCCCTGCCAGGCTCAAGGCCACTGTACATGATGATGAAGGGACACCGGGCCATGAGACCACCTGGCCAAGCAGGAATGGAAGGGGCAGCCTGGAGCAACCACCCTGCATGCAAAATTTAACTGACCTAGGAATGATAGGATCTGACAAAGCAACACTTGCCTCAGAGGAAGTATTACAAGAATAACATCCTTCAAGGCAAACAGCTTTTCCACAGGCAAGCAGATGTTTGAGCAACGGTATCCAGCTAGCCCCCAAATACATTAAAAGGGGCAGTAGGAGCCACTGTCCTCCACTGCCAACAGAACACCCAGCTCCTCAGGGAATAAAGGGGCATCTAGTAAGCTAAGCAGAGGCTGGTGTCACATGAACCAGCCAGTAAAATAATCCACATAACGATACCCCCAGTTAAAAGAGTCTTGACTCGCAATGTTCAATCCAGAAAGGCGCTAAAGGACTCAAGTGCTGCACAGCCTATTGAGCAACCAACTGGCATCGCCTTATCCATATAAGGACCATCCAATTAAAGCCTAACTACTTAAAATCTTGAGGGTGAACCGGCAGCAGCCTAACAGCCGATTCAATATCGCATAATGCCAACAAGGCACCTCCTCCAATTTGTTGGTAAGCTCAACTGCCTGATCCAAAGATGCATATTTCACGGAACAATTCCGGAGGGATAGCATCATTCACTGAGGTGCCTTTGGGGTGCGATAAATATGGATCAGATGGAATTATATGGGGCTTTCTTAGGGACGATCCCCAATGGGGATAAATGAAAATCGGGACTAGAAGGAGAATCAAGGGGATCCCACCATACGTCCCAATGCAAGCTGCTTCCTAACCTTCTTTCTGGCTACCACAGACTTTCTGGCTACCACAGACTCTAACTGACTTTTGAGTTGCTGTATTCTGAGCCACTGGCTGAAAAGCCAGAGGAATCCCGAAACCTTGGAGAAAAACCCTTCCCACAAGCACAAAGCTACTGACGCATCTAGATAACCTTTTAGCCAGGCTTTAAAGGGAGATATTTTTATGGAAATATGGGCGAGAGGTATTGAGTTATTGCTTGCCAGCCCCGCTTGGGCAAGAAGCCCTGCCTTGTGTTGCCACCATGATGTGTAAATTTACAGGGCCAACACTGGCCAGAGACCCTAAAGAAGTCCCAACAAAGCTGCCACCGGGCCAGCTTCCTGCATACCAGCTTCAGGTTCTATTGCTCAGGGAATTTCCATTTGAAATGTGGAGCTGCGCAAGTGGTCCACATGTCCCCGTCCCTGCGATCCTAGCGAGCTAAGGGGATGATGGCAGCCCTGCGTCTAACATTCCCATCATAGTGAATTACCACTTATAGAATAGTGGGGTTGGAAGGGACTCCTAGGATCATCTAGTCCACTCTCCCACAATATCATCATCATCATCATCATCATCATCATCATCATCATCATCTATTTGTACCCCGCCCATCTGGCTGGGCTTCCCCAGCCACTCTGGGCAGCTTCCAACAAAATATTAAAATACAGTAATGCATCAAACATTAAAAGCTTCCCTAAACAGGGCTGCCTTAGATGTCTTCTAAAAGTCTGGTAGTAGACATCTGGTGGGAGGGTGTACCACAGGGCAGGTGCCACTTCCGAGAAAGCCCTCCACCTGGTTCCCTGTAACTTGGCTTCTCACAGTGAGGGAACCACCAGAAAGGCCCTCGGCACTGGACCTCAGTGTCCGGGTAAAGTGATGAGGGAGCATGCAGCTGTCCCATACAGGGACCAATCCTGCAACCTAGGCATTACCGGCACCATACGCTGACCAGCTGAGCTATCCAGGATGCTCCCTAAAGACCTGGAACAGCCTCACCCTGACCCCTGGAGAGGTCCAAGGTGATGTCTGAATCATCATCAGAGCCCAGTGATGATTTACCTGCAAGGAGGTGTAAGCATCATCCCTGCTATGCTTTTTCCTGCCTCTGAAGACGCCTCCTTCCTGAAGAAGGCACCTGGGGCATCAACAAGTCATCCTCTGCAGGAGAGGCAAGCTCTGGAGGCATCTGCAAAGGCCCTGTCATAGTCTGCGAAAAGAAAAAACCTAAACAATGTGAGGAACAGGTGAAACCAATGCTTTGTGCACCACATGGGGACGCTATTCAGGCCAGAAACGCTGCCAGAGGCCATCAAATTCTAGGGCCAAGCGGGCCAAGCCCTAGGATCACCTGCTAGGCCAGACATAAATGTTTCCAATGAGATAACAAACTCGAGGCAGCCCACCGCATGTCCAGGTACCCCTGCTTGCCCTTTAGAGGGAAGCACCTCCTCAAGAAACCCAAAGTTCTTTTTGGGAGCAATATCACAAATGGGCCAAACTACCCAGCAACAAAATAGTCCAAAAGGAGCAGCTTGTTTTGCCTTGTTATAACAATGGCTAAGTGAGGGATATGAACCCTGTCTCCCAGGTCCTAGTCCTGTACTCTAGCCACTAAGCCACAATGGCTCGTTTCTAAAATGGCAGTCGCCACTATCAGGGAAAACAAACTTGAAGAAAATAAACTTGTTCAGAAACAGCATAGTTAAAGAGCATACAAAGAGTGCTCATTGGAGGCACAGAGAGCCTCTGGCTCCACTCTGTCTGCCTAAGCTATACATTAGCAACAAGTGAGCCTGCAAACAACAGATACATTCTTATAGAGAGAATGAGTCACATGTTACAGAAACTTAACAATTCACTGTACTGCTAACTGTAGCAGGCTTAGGCTTGAATGATATGTGCAGGCCGTGCAGGCCGTGATGGCCTCCCTGCGTCTGCTCTCTGCCTTTTTTGTCTCATTGCAATATTAAAGGAACTCAAAATAGTGCTCCCGCCCAAGGCTAAATTAAAACTCGGCCAACAGCACTGCAATCACCCAAAATAAAGCCAACCTATGAGGATACTATAAACGAAAGTGATTCCAGGTAAGCTGGGAATTCACTGTACTGCTAACTGTAGCAGGCTTAGGCTTGAAAGATATGTGCAGGCCGAGCAGGCCGTGAAGGCCTCCCTGCTTCAGCTCTCTGCCTTTTTTGTCTCATTGCAGTATTAAAGGAACTCAATAGTGTGCCCGCCCAAGGCTAGATTAAAACTCGGCCAACAGCACTGCATGCACCCAAAATAAAGCCAACCTATGGGGATACTATAAATGAAAGTGATTCCAGGTAAGCTGGGAGCAGCCCTGGCTAGCCCGACAATTAAACAGGCGAAAATGGGGAAAACTTTTTGCAAAAGAAAGCCCCTAATGGGGGCTCTCTCCCTATTGGAAAAGGCAAGCCCAGGAGGATTATGCACAGGCAGCGCTCACAGGTACAGGGAGAATCTTCCCAAAGGGCAGGGTAAGGGGTGGGGTGGGAAATCAAACAGAAAGAAAAAAGGGGGAATTAAATTAATTAAGGGACTAGAGAAGATTAAAAAGAAGGGGAAAATAAAGAAATGTAACCAGACAATGAGAAGATCGCTCCACTGTCCTCCAGACGGTCCAAGTGCTCCAGGTGATCCGTTGCACGCAGCAAAGAGAAAGCTCCAGGCTGCGTGCAGAGTATTTAAACATTTTACCCCTCCCACCAAAATTGCAACATAACTTTTACCCCAGCAACCCAGTGAACCAATCACTGCCCCAGGCCATCTTTAGAGACCCTGCCTGGTAACAGAGGGGTGGCTCAGCAGAC